AAGGTCGGACTCAGGGTCAGGAACGTGCGGAAGAGAGGACGCAGGATGCTCAGGCAGAACAACACGCTGTGAAACAGAGGAAGGACGAAGTGCCATAACGTGAGTGCCAGGGATAGCAGGAGGACGAGGGCGAGCGACACGACGAGAACGAACAGGTGTGGAAGCACGAGTCTCAGGCTCACGACGCTCAGTCAGGGACTCAGTCACCTCAGTGTGAGGAGCAGGAGCAGGTAGCGGGGAGCCAGGCAGTAGCTGTGGCTGAGACTAGTCTGTCTGTGGACACAGGAGCGGTGGAGTGAGGCCAGTGGAAGACGGGAGACTAAGAACCTGGCGAAGGGCCGAGTCAGGCGGCGGCAGGGACGACTGCGGCTACGGGTAGAAAAACGGTCGGGTCGGCGCAGTACCCATACCGTCAGCAGCTCCAGCACGTCCAGTACCTCCAGCTCCAGCACCTCCAGTAGCACCTCCAGCACCTCCAGCACTAGTAGCTCCGGCAGCTCCAGCACCTCTAGTACCTCCAGTACCTCCAGCTCCAGCACCTCTAGTAGCACCTCCAGCACCAGCAGCACCACCAGCTCCGGCAGCTCCAGCACCTCGAGGACGAGCAGCTCCAGCACCTCCAGTACCACCAGCTCCAGCACTTCCAGCACCAGCAGCACCACCAGCTCCGGCAGCTCCAGCACCTCTAGTTCGAGCACCTCCAGGACCAGCAGATCCAGCACCTCCAGTACCTCCAGCCTCAGCACCTCTAGTAGCACCTCCAGCACTAGCAGCACCACCAGCTCCGACAGGTCCAGCACCTCTAGGACGAGCAGCTCCAGCACCTCCAGTACCACCAGCTCCAGTGCCTCCGGCACCAGCACCTCCAGCACCAGTAGCGCCAGCACCTGCAGTACCTCCAGCACCTCCATCACCTCCAGCACCTCCAGCGTCTAGGTAACTCCAAGCTCCAGCACCAGAGCGGCCTTGCCGAATGACCCAGTCACGAAGCTGCTGCGGTCAGAGTGTCTCGAGTCGACTAGGGGGCTGCTACTGTCCAACACCAGGACCTGCAGCAGGAGCACCCACGGCCCCTCCATCACTAGGACTCGCAGCACCCCCAGAACCAGCACCCCCTGTCTCAGCACCCCCAGTCTCAGCACCCCCAGTCTCAGCACCCCCAGGACCAACACCCCCAGGACCAGCACCTCCTGCGTCCTCACCCCCAGTGTCACCACCCCCAGCAGCACCAGTGTCCACAGCTACAGGATGCAGAGGTGGTGAAGACGGTCGAGGCTGAAAACCAGGAGGGGTCTCCAAGCGTGGAGAGCGACGAGTGGCCGCCGTGTCGTCAGCGGCAAGGTCACCCCCCTCAGCTGGGCCAAAGGAGTCAGAAGAGATCTCCAAAGGCTCAACCAAGGGGGGTGGGTCTACCCGAGACACACCTGGGGGAGCAGGACCCTGTGGGGGGAGGGGGTCTACCGGGGGGGGAACTGGTACCAGGAAGAGAGGCGCCAGGGGGACCGGGTGGGACGCGTGCGGGTGGAGCCTGTAGAAACAGACCGACTCGTCAAAGGTGACGTCCTGGGAGGAGAACACGCGACGCGAGCGAGGGTAGTAAAACTGCCACGGCGGGGCGTCGGTGGGGAAATCCAGGAAGGCGCAGCGGAGAGTGCGAGGAGAGAGCTTGCTCGCGGTGGTATCGCGAACAAGGGAGAGCGTGCCCCAGACCCGAAACGCCGACGCATCGCCAACCTTTCCCGTCCAACGGATTGTGGGCGAGGTCTCTGGCAAAAAGACACGGGGCCAGAGGTTGAGCTGATGCGCGGCGTATCGGACCGCAAACGGCCACAGAAAATGGGGAGCAGCCGCATGGATCATGGAGGTACGAGCAACCTCCATGATCAAGCCAATGCGACGCTCAGCAATCCCATTTTGCTGCGGAGAGGCCGGAAGCGTGAACGACTGGATGATGCCCTCATCTCGACAGAACCCCACAAGGAGGCCGGAAGAGAACTCACCACCCCTGTCAGAGTGCAGATGCAGGACTGGAAGGTCCCGCCGAAACCGCTCGCGCAGCTGGTGACGAGTAGCGCGGATCCAGGGGATCAAAACACCACTGACGTCCGCCTTGCTGCGCAAGGGGAAGACGGTGGTGTAGCGCGTGTCGTCGTCAACGACCAGCAGGAAGTAGCGCTCCTGGTCCGTCCCACGGACGGGGGCCTGGCCCCACACGTCCATGTGGAGAGTCTGCAGAGGAGCAGTGGTCGGAGGAAACGAGGAGGAGTGAGGAGCAGCGCGCTGCCGCCCCTCGACGCAGGGAAGGCACGGCGGGGCAGGCGAGCGCGGGAGGGGGGGCAAGGACCTGGGAAGGCTAGAGACAAGGAGACGCGAGTGCATGCTACAAAGGCGCGGCAGAGAGGGGTGACCAAGTCGGTGGTGCCAGAGGAGAGTCTGGTGGAGATTACCCGACACGAGCACGACGCAGCGAACTGACCAGACGCAGACACCTGACTCGACGCAGCCACCTGACCTGGCGCAGCCACCTGTGCACACGCAGTGGTCTGGGTGTACAGACTGGACCCAGGCTGCCGAGTGAACGTAGCAAGGTGACGGCCAGTCCGGGAGCACGTACAGATCGCCACAAGCTGCCCTCCAGGGGTAAAGGTATCAACCCAAACATCCTGAAGGACTGCGTTGCTCACCAAGTTCATCGAGAACGAGGGCAGGTGGAGGCCTGAAAGAGAGCCGGAGGGGACTGCCGGACACGGGAGGACAGTGGAGGCCCGTGCAACGACGGGGCCCCCAGTGGGGTCAGCTAGTGAGACTGGGACAGGTGCTGCGAGCGGTGTGACTGTGGTGCAATCACGAAAGAAGCAATGTGACGCGCCTGAGTCAAGTGTGAAAGTATGTAAGGCCTCAGGTGAGGCAGGACCTGCGGCAGCAGACGCACTAGCACCTAGAGCGGCAGCAGACTCACAAGCACCTAGAGCAGCAGCCTCTGCACAACCAGGGATGCATCGCTGAGAAACCACCTCGCAAAGCTGCTGCTGCGAGAGGGTCGTCTGCTGACGCTGCTGCCGCTGCTGTCTAGTATGGGTAAAACCAAAACCTCCACCACCAGCACGGGCTCGCTGACTAACCCACTCACGAAGCTGCTGTGGCGAGAGAGTCTCCGGGCGACGAGGCTGCCGCTGCTGTCCAGTACCGAGATAACCATAACCTCCACCACCAGGACGGCCTCGCTGAATAACCCACTCACGAAGCTGCTGCGGCGATAGAGTGTCCGGGTGAGGCAGTGGCTGCTGCTGTCCACCCCTAGACGCTGCTACGACCGTGATAGTGGCCATGACAGGCAGTGGCAGTCAGTAGCAGCAGCTCAGGTGGCAGCAGCAGTGCAGGTGGCAGCAGTAGCGCAGCAGCAGCAGTAGCGCAGCAGCGAGCTGCAGCTCACGGCAGGTCAGGGCGGCGTGCGGCTCTAAGGGCAGGGCGGCGCGCGGGCTGCAGGGCAGGGCGCGCGAGCCTAAGGGCAGGGCAGCGCGGGATGCAGGGTAGGGCGGCGTGCAGGCCTAAGGGCAGGGCATCGCAGCGCGCGGGCTGCAGGGCAGGGCGGCGCGCAGGCCTAAGGGCAGGGCAGCGCGGCTCGCGGGCTGTAGGGCAGAGCAGCGCGGCTCTAAGGGCAGGGCAGCGAGCGGGCCTAAGGGCAGGGCGGCGCGCGGGCTGCAGGGCAGGGCGAGCGCGGGCTACAGAGGCGAGCGCGGGCTGCAGGGCAGGGCGAGCGCGGGCTACAGAGGCGAGCGCGGGCTGCAGGGGCGAGCGCGGCTGCAGGGGCGAGCGCGGGCTGCAGAGGCGAGCGCGGCTGCAGGGGCGAGCGCGGGCTGCAGGGGCGAGCGCGGGCTGCAGGGGCGAGCGCGGGTTGCAGAGGCGAGCGCGGGCTGCAGGGGCGAGCGCGGGCTGCAGGGGCGAGCGCGGGTTGCAGTGGCGAGCGCGGGCTGCAGATTGCGAGCGCGCTAGCGGGCAGAAAACGCGCGCGGAGCACGCAGCGCGTTAGGGCAGGCAGCGCGCGTGGCAGCAGGGCAGCGCGCGTGGCAGCAGGGCAGCGCGACACTGTAAGGGCAGGGCAAGGCAGCGCAAGGGCGCTCCGGGCAGGTTCTAGCGGATCGATTTGGTGAACCTTAAAAAATCTAACCGTGTTCCTGCTCTGAAACCATGTCGAGAGAGCTGTTGCAGGAATGAGGAATGACTAGCAGCAAGGTGATACAAGTATGAAACCCTAACTAGGGTTGTACTCTATACTGAGCATCTCACTGTAGCCTAGCAGAACTAAGAACATACAAATATGTTTTGACACCAAATGCATAGTACAGTACAGTACAGTACAGTACAACTCCTTAGTGAGATGGGAATACACCCCCAAAGTGCCTGAAACACACAATTGCAGCAGAAGGAATGAGAAACGTTGAAAATGTCTGTCAAATGTTCGTCAAATCAAATGTTCCTCAAATTCTTGTCCATGCCCGTCACGAGAAACATGCACTGCACGCATAAAACAGAAAGAAAAGCAGGGTGTTGTTGAGATTCTCAATGACACCCTGTAGCAGCTGGCAAGCAGAATGGATAGCATATACGGTACTAGCAGTAGGAAACAAAGAAAACACTCACTCTATACTTGCGGAATTGTATGCGGATCTAGAGATGATACCAGTACAACACCAATACTTTGTACACTCTCTACACTTGGCGCTCACAGAATGTGCGGACACTCACAACAACACTCACTGGGAATTCAGTTGATCCACGAGCTCCTCTGCTCCCAGCAGCGAGTCGCTCCCTCTCTCCACCACTACTCACGGAACGTGCACACAAGCACAAGTAACAGAATCCACTCACTGTGCATTCAGTCTGTCCACGAGCTCTTCTGCTCCCAGCAGCGAGTCGCACCCTCTCTTTCCATCGCCACATCCATCAATCATAGCACACACAGCATGCACACACATGGGTGGTGCTAGTCAGAACAACACTCACTGACCATTCAGTCTGTCCACGAGCTCCTCTGCTCCCAGCAGGGAGTCGCACCCTCTCTCCACCGCCACCACCAGCTGCTGCCCACCACTCCTCCTCTCCACCACCCACGCATTTCTCCCCACCTTCGAGGCCACCTCCTCACTTTCCTCCTCACTTTCCTCCTCACTCTCCTTCTCATCCCCCTCCTCACACCACTCGTCCTTGTCCTCTCCACGCCCTCCTTCCTCTCCTCTCTCCCTCTCTCCTACTCTCGCCTCTCCAACCCTCCCTTCTCCTCCCTCCCTCTCACTCATCCCTTCCCTCTCCCCATCTACTGCCCTGCTTCCAGGAACATTCTGCTCCCCCTCGCCTGCCCCATCTGCTACTCTCTCCGCCTCTTTCCCGCCACTCCCCCCTTCTCCACCCTTCGAAATTTCCGATTCTGCATCCACCCCTTGTGCGCTCGCGGCATGTCGTTCCCTTGAACCTGCACCAGGCACAGAAGCACAATCAGTGGGAAGAGCAGCAGTGCAGTTGATTGGAGAAGTTTTTTAGCATTCTAGAAATTCCCTAAGGCTCTCTGCCCATGCATCCACCCCTTGTGTGCTTGCTGGGTGTCGTGCCCTTAAGCCTGCATGGGGCACAGAAGAGAAGTCAGAGGGAAGAACAGGATTGCAGCCAGAGGGGGGAAGAGCAGCAGCAGAGTCAGCACCCTCCCCTTGTGTGTTCGCTGCATGTCGTTCCCTTGTCCCTGCACCAGGCACAGCAGCAATAATCAGAGGGGAGAGCAGGATTGCAGTCAGAAGAAAGAGGAGCAGAGCAGATAGAAGGAAGAGTGGTAGTGGAACCGTTGAGATGTCGATATCTTTGGTAAAAGAAGTCAAAAGAAGTAGTAGCAGCAGCAGCAGCAACAGCAACAGCAAGGCAGCAGCAACTCGAGCAGAAGTAGCAACAGCAGTAGTAGCAGTAGCAGAAACAAGAGCAGTAGCAACAGCAGCAGTCACAGTAGCAGAAACAGGAGCAGTAGCAACAGCCGCAGTACCAGCAGAAACTAGAGCAGCGGCAATAGCAGCAGAAGTAGGAGCACTAGCAACAGCAACAACAGCCGCAGCAGCAGCCGCAACCGGAGCAGAAGAGTAAAAAAAATCAGCACAAACCATTTTCTCACTTAACGTTCCACCCATTCCTTTCTCCTCTCTTCCCACACTTCCAAAAAAAACATCTCTCTTTCCTCCTCTTCTTATCCGTCTTTTTTGGTTTTGCGAATTCTCAAAAGCGAGTCCATCTCTATTGCCTTGAGACATCTCAAATTCCACCCATACCTTTCTCTCCTCTTCCCCCCCCCCCTGTGAGCGCATCCCTTCTCTTCTCTGCTGCTGCCTGTCCGCCTCGTGTCTCATCTGGTTCAGCAATGCAAGGGAGTTTTGAGACGTCTCTCATTTTTTTTTTTTTTTTTTTTTTTTTTACAGTACTAAGAGAGAGAGAACACTAATGAATCAATCTATCGCCTCTCTGCCTGTCCGCCTCGTGTCTCATCTGGTTCAGAACTGCGAGGGAGGCCTGGGAAAGAGGGTTAGCTGGTGGGAGAGAGCAGCGGGTCAGCGCAGAGGTACTAAGTGAGGGGGGTGGGAAAGTGGAGGGAGGGGGGCAACCTTTGATAGGGTAACAACCCCACCTAGGCAAGGGTATTGACAATGCAGGGCGGTAAGAAGCAGCCAGAGGCATTACGGACCCACCTTAACGAGAGTGGTGACTTTGCAAGGTGGTGAGGCAGAGGAGCAGCGGAGCAGAGGAACAGAGCAGCGGGTCAGTACAGAGGCAGCGCGTGAGGGGAATGGTGACATTTCAAGGAGGAGGGGCAGTTAGAGACACCAGAAACTGACCTTGGCGAGAGTGGTGACTTTGCAGGCAGGGAGGGAAGGCACAGCAGCGGGTCAGTGTAGAGGTGATGAGTAAGTGGGATGGGGACGCGGAGACCCAGAGAAAACTTTGATAGGGTAACAACCAACGTTTGACTGTGACATACCTTGGCGAGGGTGGTGACTTTGCAGGGAGGGGATGCGGAGAAGGATCGGAGCAGAGGGTCAGTGCAGCAGTAGCGAGTGAGGGTTGAATCAACCTTCAATGGGGTAAACACTAACCTTGGCGAAGCGGAGAAGGAGCGGAGCAGAGGGTCAGTGCAGAGGTAGTGGATGAAGGGGATGTCAAAGCGGAGAGCCAAAGCAACCCATGATAGGGTAACAACCGACGATTGATAGGGTAAGAACCAAGCTTTGATAGGCAGAGAGAGAAAGAACCCATCTTGGTAAGGGTGGTGACGTTGCAAGGTGGGGAAGCGGAGAAGGAGCGGAGCAGAGGGTCGGTGCAGAGGTAGTGGATGAAGGGGATGGGAAAGTGGAGAGACAGAGCAACCCATGATAGGGTAATTGCGGAGAGTCACTCTACAACGATGGTAGCTGGACTACGTGGGAGGCTACGGGGTTGTACGGGTGATCAAAGCGTTCCTCGTGTTCTCTCTACTTGCGTATACACGGGGCAAAACAGCAAGAATCGTACTAGGAAAGTTAAAACAATGATACACAATGGTTGGCAAAAGGTGACTACACTAGGAACACACTAGCAACCTAGCACAAGCAAGTCGACCTCCAGCGCAGCACTAGGGCGGCTTGCCAGCGCCGCAAGTCGGCGGCCTGCTAACGCAGCTAGGAGGCGACTTGCCAACACTGCAAGTCGGCCTGCCAGTGTTGCACCACGGCAGCTTGCCAACGCTGCAGCAAGGCGGCTTGCAGCGTTGCAGCCGCAGGTGACAATGTGCGCACATGCGCGCACAAGCAAGTAGGTGCAGATAGATGGTTGCCCAACGCTGCACCGTCAGGCACATTGCGCAGGTGCCCATGTCGACCACCTGTCGATGGTTGCTCCAGATGCTCCACGTCGACCACGTGCTATCACTACGTAGGTCGACTTCACCATAACCACCTGGACGACGTTCGCACACCCCCCCAGAACTTCGTCAACCAGGTTACTGGGTCGACCAAAAAGGCCGATAAGTCGGCGCCGACGCCCGCAGGTCGAAGAACACCTTCGTCACGCCAAGGTCTGATACTGCCGCCGACTTCGCTTCGTCGGCGTTGTCGCAGTGCTTCTGCCGAAGTCGACCAAGGTCGTCGACTTCACCCTCAGGTCGATGCCGACCACCGCGCTCAGCCGGCCGCACACCTCGCGCGCCGGTCACGTCGGCTTCGCCAAGCGAGAGCGGGGCATTTTCCGGTCAATAGAAACAACCGACGATTGATATGGTAAAAACCAAGCTTTGATAGGCAGAGAGAGAAAGAACCCACCTTGGCAAGGGTGGTGACTTTGCAAGGTGGGGAAGCGGAGAAGGAGCGGAGCAGAGGGTCGGTGCAGAGGTAGCGGCAGCCCTGGATGTGGGCTGCTTGCGGGTTGATGTGGTGCCGTAGAAGAGATGCCTCCAATGCTTCCATCTCCCTCAGGAGCTGATGGGGGTTGGGAGGGTGCATTGGGAATGAGAACCCCTGGACAGCAGAGGCCATGACAGAGGTAGCAGCAGGTAGACATGAGCACTTTTCCAAACCTCAAACACGTTCGGGTCGAACATGTTCGACCCGCTTTTTTTGTAAAAAAGGTTCGCCCGAACATGTTCGGGGTTCGCCCCGAACATGTTCGGTGTTCGAAAAGTTCTAAGGGAAAATTCCCGAACACCAAACATGTTCGGGAAGTTTCCCCACTTTTCCGAAGCAGAAAACCGTGTACCCCCGTGTTCCCCACCCCCTAAACATGTATGGGCAGGTGTTGTTGTACTTAATTGCATGAAACAGGGGTGGTGAAATCTGTTAAGTCACAGAATCTGCCAAGTCATTATTTTCGAACACCAAACATGTTCGGAATTGGCCGAACATGTAGATGTTGGCGAACAGTAAACATGTTCGCCCACACTAACCAAACACCAAACATGCAAAATGTGAAAATAATCTTCGGGCGAACCGAACATGTTTGGTTCGCCGAATCAAACTGTTCGGGGACGCTCGGGCGAACACGTTTGGTGTTCGCCCGTTGCTCATGTCTAGCAGCAGGCAGCCCTGAAATAGGGGTAACAAAGGCACCTGTTTGCTAGGCGGGAAGATGTGGCAACAGTTATATTTATATGCATATGTATACACATATAAATATGTGCACATATATGTTATTTCCCAACATTCTTGCTATCATTTGTTTGACATATTTATCCACAAAAACCAACGCAAACAAGAAACAACTGTTTTTTAGCGGGAGGGGGTGGGGGTGGGGGGGGCGGGGGGGGGGGGTTTAATCGAAGTATGTCAATGTTCAGCCGAACTATGCAATAACAAAAGAAAAAAAATGCTAAAATAATTCCCATCTTGCCTGTGTGTGCTTCAAGTCACCTTATAACGAGTCAGACAAGACATAACACTCAACCCACCTCAGGGTGAAGGCCTGTTTGACCAGCTTCATCGTTTCTCCTCTGCCCCTCCCTTGGTGCTGCTGGTAATGGTTCTACCACCAGTGCTGTCAGGTCTTTGACAAAAAACACGCGCAACACTCCCACCACTCCTGCTCCCTCTCCCCTTTCCCCTCCCCTTTCCCCTCCCCTTTCCCCTTCCCTTCCCCCTCCCACTCCCTCGTCCCCTTTCCCCCTTCCACCACCCCTCTCCTTCTCTCCACCCCTGCTCTTCCCCTCTCTGTTCCTGCTTTCTCGTGCCCCATTCTTTCCTTCCTCTCCCCGTTCGCTCCCCCGGCCTCCTCCCCCAACCCCTCCCCCCACCTCTACTCCCAAAGACCTTAGATAGACAAGAGGGGGGAGAGGGGTGCTGGTTTGGGGATCTAATCCCCATGCTGACGTGGAAAGGGAGTGGCCTGACGTGGATTTGGCCCAGGATGACGGGCGAAGGGGGAGGGGAGGGGAGGAGTAGGGGAGGGGGAAAGGGGAGGAGTGGGTGGGGGGGTTTGAGGCGGAGGGGGAAGGGGGGAATGGCTGGTTGGGGTTGGGGCAAGCAGAGGGGGAGAGAGGGGGAGTGTGGGCGAAAGGGGAGAGATGGGCGAGTGAGGGGGTGGAGGAGGAGCGAGGTAGGGTGGGAGCGAGTGAGGGAGTGAGTGAGGGAGTGAGTGAGGGGCTGAGGAAAGAGGAAGAGGTGCGACGGGGGGAGGGGGAGGAGGGGCGGTGAGAGGAGGGGGAGGAGGAGGCGGAGGAGGAGGAGGTGAAGGGGGAGCGGAAGGGGGAGAGGGAGCGGAGGATGGAAGAGGACGAGGAGGAGGGGGAGACGAAGGAGGGAAGAAGGCGGAGACATGCGTAGGAGTGTAGTGCTGCAGTGTCAGTCTGAAGGAGGGAGAGGGGAGAGGGGAGGGGGAGGGGGAGGGGGAGTAGAAGGGGAGATTGCTTTTGTTGAGGCACCTCAAAATTGGAGGGGGAGAGGGAGGAGGGGAGAAGGGGGAGGCATGCGCAGGAGTGTAGTGCTGCTGTGTCGGCCTGAGGGAGGGAGGGAGAGGGGGGGGTTGTGGGAGAGGTGACTTTTCAGTCGACTCAAAGGACGGAGGCATGCGCAGGAGTGTAGTGCTGCTGTGTCATCCTGGAAACGGGGCGGGGAGGGGTGTGATAGTTTAGAGGTGTGAGGGTGGTGAGAGGAGTGAGAGGGAAGAGAGGGAAGAGAGGGGACGGAGAGGGGGTTAATGGGGGAGAGCTGAGGGGAAGCGGGAAGCGAGAAGGAATAAAAAAGAAACAGTGAAGGTCACAGGCAGTGAGAAGGAAAGGGAAAGCAAAAAGAGAAGAAGCGGATTGCGCATTTCACAGCAAGCAAGGTCAGTAACACAATGATGCGAGGCGAGCAACCCACATGCAAGACACTTAGCAGCCATGATGAGCGATGGGCAGAAGAGGGGATGAGCGATGGGCAGAAGAGGGGATGAGCGATGGGCAGAAGAGGGGATGAGCGATGGGCAGAAGAGGGGATGAGCGATGGGCAGAAGAGGGGATGAGCGATGGGCAGAAGAGGGGATGAGCGATGGGCAGAAGAGGGGATGAGCGATGGGCAGAAGAGGGGATGAGCGATGGGCAGAAGAGGGGATGAGCGATGGGCAGAAGAGGGGATGAGCGATGGGCAGAAGAGGGGATGAGCGATGGGCAGAAGAGGGTTTAGGGTTTAGGGTTGAGGAGAGGGTACAAGCGACCAGCAGCTTGTGACAGAGCAGCAGGGCGAGGCTTGGGGGCTTGGGTTTTGGGGTTCAGGGTTTGGGGTTTGAGTTTTGGGTTTGGGATTTGGGGCTTGAATCTTTAAGTGGAAGATGAGTGGTTAATGGGGAGAGGGTATGAATAGAAGGCAGTGGTAGAGTAGGGTAGAGCCGGAGTGGTTACCGGGGAGAGGGTGGAGGCGAGCAGCAGGTTGTGGCACAGCAGAGCAGCAGAGCTTGGGGCTTGAGGTTTGGGGTTTAAGGTTTGGGGTTTGACTCTAAGTGAGGGATGGGGGGTTACCGGGGAGAGGGTGGAGGCGAGCAGCAGGTTGTGGCAGAGCAGCAGTGCCGCACCCTGAAAGGCATCTGCCAGACGATGGGCGAGAGACTGGTGGGAGGGGGAGAGACGGGAGAGAAGGGGAGAGATGATTGAGTTCTGGAAAGGCGGGAGCGGGGTAAATGAGAGGAAAGACGGAGGGGTAGCAGCGCCCCGCCTTGAGAGGCATCCCCCAGGCAATGGGCGAGCGACTGGTGGGATGGGAGGGATAGAGGGGGGAGGTGGGGAGAAGCAGAGCAGGCAGTTTCGGGAACAAGGTGAGAGGGGCGGAGTGGAGGGGAGAAATGGTGGGAGTGCGGAGGGTGGTGTGGGAAAGCGGGAGTAGGCTCACCAGAGAGGAGAGAGTTAGCGGGGGAGGTTGAATTGGCGACAGGAGAGGCGGTTGGAGAGGAGTTGGGGAGAGAAGCCAGGCGCACTCGAGGAAGGGTCAGGGGTGAGGAGTGGTGGGGGCGTGTGGGGGAAAGGGAAGAGGAGAGAAGCAGGCTCACCAGAGCAGGGAGCGTGAGCGAGCGGGGGAGGTTGAGTTGGCGGCAGGAGAGGCGGTTGGAGAGGCGGTTGGAGAGGGAGTCGAGGAGAGCAGGCAGGCGCACCCGAGGAGGTGTGGGGCGGTTGGAAGTGGTGAGAGGGGGTGGTTCTGGGAACAAGGGAAAAGCAGGCTCACCAGAGCAGGGAGCGTGAGCGAGCGGGGGAGATTGAGTTGGCGGCAGGAGAGGCGGCTGGAGAGGGCGTCGAGGAGAGCAGGCAGGCGCACTCGAGGAGTGGCGGGGGCGGAGAGGGCGAAGGGGAATGCAAGAGTAGAGGGCTCTGGTGACCCGCCTGGAGAGATGAGGGGCGAAGGGCGGAAGCAGTGCATGGGGGAGTGGGGCCACAGTGAGGGGGGAAGGGAAATACGCAGTCAGGGGGGAAACGGTGGTAGCAGTCAAAAAGAGACTAGAGCAGAGGGAGGGGGATGACGTGTATGATCCACACGAGACACACGCACCTGTGAGGAAGTCAGGGAGGAATGCTTGCAGGCAGGGACAGGCTAAACCAGAATTCAGATGAGAAGTGTGTGGGAGATCAGAGAAAGGAGAGGGGAGAAAACAGCATTCACTATACGCAGGAGGTAGACGAGACACGCACCTGTGAGAAAGTCCGGGAGAAAGGCTTGCAGGCAGGCACGGGCTAGATCAGCAGTCAGAAGAGAAGTGTGAGAGAGCAAGCAGTGAAAGCAGGAGGGGAGAGGCGCAAGGACATGTACGATCCACTCGAGTCAGAAGAGAAGACACACGCACCTGTGAGGAGGTCCGGGAGGACGGCTTGCAGGCAGGCAGGCACGGGCTAAGTCTGCTGAGGGGGGAATAGGGTAAATGGGAATTATGTGGATGCGTGCTGGCCTGACACGCACCTGTGAGGAAGTCAGGGAGGAAGGCTTGCAGGCAAGCACGGGCTAAGTCTGCTGAAGGGGGAACGGCCGACGGGGAATCGTGTGAAGGGGTGTCAGACTCAAGATTTGATGAGGGCCCAGTTGTTGCTTCTGAGGGGAGAGGAGGGGGTTGTTGGGGTTGCTGCTGTAGCAGCAAGCGGTCGATGCTGCCGAAGAAGAGACAAAAGAGTGCATGTGCCTCCACCAGATACTGCCGAAGAGCCTCGTTGCGCACTGTAGCGTCGGGCGGCACGACGCCGTTGACCCCCCGGCACTCCACCACCTGAGATTTGGTGTGGGCATAGAGCATGGGGAGAATGGGGAAAAGGGGAGTAATGGACGGGGAATTGGGGAACTGGGGAGAATGGGGAACTGGGATTTGGTATGGGCATATGGGCAGGTGGGGGTGGGTGGGGGGTAGGGGAAGAATGGAGTTAAGGGCAGGCGGAACGATGCCGTTGAAGGAAGCAAGTATGAGACTGCTATGACTATGATGACTGCAAGGCACATGACATGCACACCATGCCATCACATCGCCATCACACCATGCCATCACCCACTCACCACCAGCAACATGAAGATGCCCAGCTCACACTCCAGCAGCACGTGGCGGTGGAAGCAAGCACGTTGATGAGTCTGACTGCTACAAGCGCAAACCCCATCGCACACACTCACCAGCACCATGAAGATGCCCGGTTCACACTCCAGCAGTATGTGGCGGTGGAAGGAGGTGTGCTGGCTACTGGGTGGGTGTGTCACTGTAATGACTGTGAGAATTAGCATGTGGAAACCCCACACATCCACTCACCAGCACCATGAATTCGCCCGGCTCACACTCCAGTAGCACATGGTGGTGGAAGGAAGAATGAGAATAATCTGTCAGCAGTAATGAGCATGAGCATGAGCATGAGCATGAGCATGAGCATGAGCATGAGCATGTGCATGAGCATGAGCATGAGCATGAGCATGTGCATGAGCATGTGCATGAGCATGAGCATGTGCATGTGCATGAGCATGTGCATGTGCATGAGCATGTGCATGAGCATGTGCATGAGCATGAGCATGAGCATGAGCATGTGCATGAGCATGTGCATGAGCATGAGCATGTGCATGTGCATGAGCATGTGCATGTGCATGAGCATGTGCATGAGCATGTGCATGAGCATGAGCATGAGCATGAGCATAAGCATGAGCATGAGCATGAGCATGAGCATGAGCATGAGCATGAGCATGAGCATGTGCATGAGCATGAGCATGTGCATGAGCATGAGCATGAGCATGTGCATGAGCATGTGCATGAGCATGTGCAAGTCCCGCCGTACATACCACCACAACACACACTCACACCAGCACCACCGCACTCAACAGCACCATGAATTTGCCCGGTTCACACTCCAGCAGCACGTGGCGGTTGAAGGGAGAATGAGAGTACTGGGAGGGTAATGACCGTGAAAGCATGTGGCAGCACCACTCACCACCGCACTCACCAGCACCATGAATACGCCCGGCTCACACTCCAGCAGCACGTGGCGGTGGAAGGAAGTGTGCTGGCTACTGGGTGGGTGTGTCACTGTATTGACTGTGAGAATTAGCATGTGCAAACCCCACACACCCACTCACCAGCACCATGACTATGCCCGGCTCACACTCCAGCAGCACGTGGCGGTTGAAATGCGCTCGCATCACCTCACAGGGGCGATGGGGGGAGAAGATCCTGGGAGGGGGGGGGGGGCAAGGGGGCAAGGGAGAGAGGAGGTGGGTTGGGTTGGGGGGCACGAGGCGAAGGGCAGCGATGGAAATGCGCTCGCATCACCTCACAGGGGCGATTGGGGGAGAAGATTCTGTAAGGCGGGTGGGGAAGAAGAGGGGAATGGGAGCAAGGGAGAGAGGGAGTGGGGGCAGGCGAGGGGAGGAGTGAGGGGATGCGAAATAGGAGGTGGGGGATAGGGAGTGGAGACAGCAGCAGGTTCACACTCCAGCAGTATGGGCTGTGGAAGGGTGCTCGCATCACCTCACAGGGGCGATGGGGGGAGAAGATTCTGGGAGGGGGGGTGGGGGGAGGGGGCAAAAAGGAGAGGAAGTGGGTTGTGTTGGGGGGCAGCAGGCAATGGGGGGCTGTTGAAATGAGCTCGCATCACTTCACAGGGGCGATGGGGGGGGAAGATTCTGGAACGGGAGGGTTGAGGGGGGGGAGGGAATGGGAGAGGAGGTGGGTTGAATTGGGGGGCAGCAGGCAATGGGGGGCGGTGGACGTTCGCATCACCTCACAGGGGCGATGGGGGGAGAAGATTCTGAAGGGGGGGGGAAGGGGGGGGAGGCAACAGAGTGGGGGATGGGTGGGAGACAACACGTGGAGGGGGAACAAGTGGGGATTGGGGGGGGGAAAGCGCAGCACATAGTGATAGAATGACGATCAGGAAACAGGAGGGGTTGGGGAAATGGGAGAGGGGAATGGGGGCAAGGAATGAAGTGGGGATGAAAGTGGGGATGTCAGAGGGCCAAGAATGAGGAGCGTTCGTATAGCGATTGTGGATCATGTCACACACTTTTCGCATCGTATAAATATAATGAAGGAGTAAGGTTTCAGATTTGAGACGTTTCAAAAACGGAAGCATTTGAATCATGTCACACACTTATCGCATCAAACCAATACATGGATGGATTGAGCTTTCATCAGGTGACGTGACAGGAAGCTAAATTAAGGGAAGGGCGGGGGGAGGAAGGGGAGGGAGGGAAGGGAAAGGAAGTGATGGTGAGGGGGAGGAGGAACGGACAGAGTGGTTGGAAAGGAGGGAGGACAGAGGAGAAATGGATGGATATTGGGCTTCAATGTGGGACTGGTGGGGAGGGAGGGGGTGTGGTTCACTTGACGGGGGAGGAAGGGGGTGTTGCGGAGCGAGTGTGTTTATTGCGAATGTGACTACATCGAGTGTGACTATAGCGAGTGGGGCTATAGCGAGTGGGGCTATAGCGAGTGTGTCCATAGGGAGTCGACTTCTATAGGGTCACCTGGTGAAGGCGAGGAGGCCCTCCCAAAGACCAAGCAGAGCCACTTGCTCCCATGGCGGAGTCGCCTGCAACAAAGAATGTGCATATATGAGTGTGACTCTAACGTGTGTAACTCAAGAGAGTGTGACTATAGTTGACTTCTATAGAGTCACCTGGTGAAGGCGAGGAGGCCCTCCCAAAGCCCCAGCGGCGCCACTTGCTCCGACGACGCATGTGCCTATAGCGAGTGCGATTACAGGGTGGGACTGTAGCGAGTGTGACTATAGTGAGTGTAACTACAGCGAGCGCGGCACCTGGTGAAGGCCTGGGAGCGGAAGTTTGCTAGTGAGGTTGGGTACAGACCTGTCAAGAATAGAACTAGGAATGATGGATTGAAATAGGCAAGAGGTGAGTACAAGTAGGGGAAACCTAACCCCAAAATGTTGTACTCACTAAGGAGTGACACTACTGTAGCCTAGAGATACAATTGTAATCTGACACACCCCCATAGGCAAAGTAGGGGACAGCAAACACAACAAGCGGTCACAAGACCAGTCTGCAGAAGAGAACACAGCTCAGGGTGGATCACAAAGTCACCACGCATTCTGAGCACAAGCAAGTGGCCACAAGGCCAGTTCACATGCAGAGGTATATAATAGCAAGGCAGTACACTGATCACAACCTAGCAAGAGAAAACATGCAGGTATAAAGATATATAGCAGTGTACAACAAGAGCAAGTCAAGCAACCAACAGGTGAGGCAGAGTGGGCACAAGCCCAAGAGCAGTGCAGAAATGGTGATGATCACCAGCCCCAAGGGCCTTGGTGAAGACATCAGCAGTGTTGGCCCGAGAGGCCACGTGAGCAAGGCGCAGCTGACCACGCTGCTGCAGCTCACGCGCAAGGAAGTAGCGAAGAGCAATGTGCTTCGTTCTGTGCTCCAGTCTCTGCTCGCGACACAAGGCAAGCATTGCCTTGTTGTCGACGTACAGAACTGGAGGAGAACGAGGCCGCTCCCCCAAGTCGGTCAGCAGGTAGGTCAGCCAGCGTAGCTCCTGTGCAGCCATGGCCCCAGCGTAGATCTCGGCCTCACAGCTGGAACCAAGCACAGAAGAAGAACGAGTGGACCTCCACGAGACAGAACCAGAGCCAAGACTGAAGGTGTAACCCTGTGACGAACGCTGAGTCGTCTGGTCGTCGGCCCAAGAAGCGTCAGAGTGTCCTGTGAGGACCACCGAACCCCGTCCTCCAAGCACGAGCCCCATGCCCGATGTGCTGCACAAGTAACGCAGTACCCTCTTCGCAGCATCAAAGTGCACCTTTCGGTGTCGACCAGGTGCCACGTAGCGAGCCAGGAGGCTGAGAGGGTACGCGAGGTCAGGTCGTGTGCACGTCATCAGGTACATGAGGCAACCCACAAGCTCTGGGTACGGACCACTCGACTCTACGGACTCGTCCGAAGGTGGAGCTGAGAGCGAGTGGCCGGTAGACAGAGGAGTGGGCTGTGGCGAGGACCAAGTGAAGCGGAAGCGCTGAAGGACCTGGTGCACCATGTGTGACTGAGTGAGGGTGATGGTGCGCCGTGATCTGTCCCGGGTGATCTGCAAGCCAAGATAGCTCCGCAGCTCACCCAGGTCAGTGCAGGTGTGTCTCTCCTGCAGCTCCGCCTTCACTAGGGCCAGTGCCTCAGTGTCAGCAGTAGCAAAAACCAAGTCGTCGACGTACACGAGGATGTAGAACGGCGGAAGAGTAGTGTCGGTGCGTAGAAACAGCGACGGGTCAGCAGTCGAAGGAGCAAACCCAAGAGCCGCAAGTGTCGTCCTCAGTGTGTCGTGCCACTCACGGGGCGCCTGACGCATGCCGTACACTGGTCGCCGTAGGCTCCACTGGGTACGCTCAGGAAACGACCCAGTGAAGCCCTGTGGACGGCGCAACCAGATGGCCTCGTGAAGGCTACCCTGCAAGAAAGCTGTCGAGAAGTCGAGGGAGTGCAGTTCGTAGTCACGCTGAGCTGCAACGTGTAGCAACACCCGAAGAGTGGTCATCTTCGGGGTGGGGGAGAAGGTCTGAAAGAAGTCGACCCCCTCACGCTGACTGAAGCCTCGAGCAACGTAACGTGCCTTGAAGGCAGGCGGAGAACCCGGCGGCCGCTTCACCCTGAAAATCCACATGCCACTGACGATGTTCGCCCCAGGTGGGGGAACCTCGTCGACGTAGGTGCCTGTGGACTTCCAGGAATCCATCTCTGCGTCCATGGCTGTCTGCCACTGAGAGGAGTACTCACCCAAAATCGCCTCCCTGTAGGAGCGCGGGGTGGGGATGTCAAGTGCATCCGGGTCTCCCTCAGGGGCAAGCAGCATGGTCGCGTGATGGGGTGAAGCGGCAGCAAGGCACTCCAGCTCCTCCTGTCTGTCCTCAAGAACGTCACAGCCAAGGGCAGTACAGCCAAGAGCAGTCTCACCCCCGACGGACGGAGGACAGGCAGGGACAGGGTCAGAGACAAGACTCGCAAGGTAGTCTAGGCGGTACACAGCAGCAAAGTCAACAAGCTCAGCTACTAGGGCAGACGCAGCAGGAGACGAGAACGTAGGGTCCGTCACAACCGTGTGAAGATAAGCAGTAGAAGAAGGCGCCATAGCTAGGAAAGCCCTAGCTAGGCAAGAAACAGTTTAGGCAAAGAAGGAGGAGTTGCACTAGCAAGAATGAGGATACAAATAGCAAACCCTAGAAGGGTTGTACTCGCTATAGAGCACCCCACTACAGGCTAGAGCATAATATTCTGACACACCCCCATAGCCAAAGTGGGGTGTAATCAGCAGAGCAAGCAAAGCAGAACAAGCTCAGGGTGGATCACAATGTCACCACACATTCTGAGCACAAGTTCAGGAAGCAATAGTTTAAAGTTCACAATTATGAGCAAAGCTAGTGGTAGTCACAACGGGCAAGTGAGGAGGAGGAGGGACAGTGAGAGGAGAGGAGATAGGAGGCGACGGCTGAAGCTGCAGACACACGGGCAACAGGAGGCACACTGGCACAGCGGCTACCGGAACAGCGCTCCGGACTACTGGAGTAACTGGCCCCGCGGCTAAAAGTAGCGGCAGACGAGCAACGGACCCACGGGCGACTGGCACAGGTGGCTACGACTGGGCTACCGGAGCAACTCCCCGGACTACAGGTGCTGCTGGCGACACGACGGCAACCTCCGTTCAACCTCCCCCAAACAGTACCACCCCCCCTGACACACACCCCTTGCTTCACCCCTAGCTCCACTCCCTCTTCACCCCCCCTTAGTACCACTCCGACGGCTCCAACAGGTCCACCCCCCTTCAGCGGCAGCTGCAGCACAGGGAGACGGAGGAGGAGGAGGAGCAGGGAACGGCACACAGAAGCTGCACCCCCATACCCCCCACCCCCAAACCCTAATCCAGGAGAACAGGCAGAAGGAGGGGTGGGGCGCCTTCAGAAGCACGGGGGACAGCGGGGAGGACAGGGGCAGCGAAGAACGGGCCGCCCACGGGCCTGGCACAGCCTCCCGAACCGCGCGCAGGCGGCCCGAGCCGCGCGCGGGCCTGGCGCAGTCCGTACGGGCCGCGCGCGGGCCTGGCGCAGCCCGTACGGGCCGCGCGCGGGCCTGGCGCAGCCCGTACGGGCCGCGCGCGGGCCTGGCGCAGCCCGTACGGGCCGCGCGCAGGCCTGGCGCAGCCCGTACGGGCCGCGCGCCGGCTGT